AACTGAATATACATATATTATACATAAGTTTTAAAAACATACGCCTTCTGTGGGCATCATATCATCATATCATACCGGCCTCAAAACTCGGTAAAAACGTACCGACCATCATAAGGCTCGGTAAATTGTACCCCGGCCAACGTGGAGCTCGGTAAAACCCAACTGATCAGTGGTTGCAACAATAGGTGCCATACCCGGCCGACTATAGCGCGGCTCGGTAGAGTAAATTAGATACATATATAATGGCAGGCTGGCCTCATGGAGTCCCGTTCTAACCTTTTGGAGTGACATAAGTCATTGCACCATCGATTAACATTATGGACATCATACCATCAATATGAACTTCACTAGGACTCAAGGATCATATATACTTTCTTGGAATAACTTTTTAAGGAAAGAATAACATGGACAACCTTAGTTGCTAGGAGTTAGATTCATTATGAAATAGCGTATCGTTTATGTGTTCACTTTAGATCATGCCAAAAGAATGAAGGAAGAGCCTTAACATACCTTAAACATGTTGAGTCCTTAATACCTTCTAAGAAACTCTTCAAACAAGTCAACTCGATCTATCATAGTAAGGAGAATTCAAAATCAGTGTTGAGCAAAGGCTAAGTCTGTAACTTAAGCTAGTAGCTCGTCTACGTAAATTCGGGCAGGCATCTCCCTTGTAACAAGGGCCTCCTCCAATACCATATACCAACAACAACAGCCAGGGAAGTCCAGCAACCTTATACAGCGCAACAACTTGGAATTTCATCCAAATACAGCCCACAACAATCCTCAATGACAACACAACCTCAAAGAGGTGTTGTTATTCACTAGAACTAAGTTTGGATGTTGAAATATGGTGTAATCACTTTGGAATCACTTCAAACCCTTGTGGAATCTGTTTAGTAGGGTTAGGAGAAGTTTGGAGACAAGTTGAGTTGAAAATAAGTGAAAAATAGGCGTCCAAATCGTTATAAATTGAAGTAGGTCAACCACCGCCTAAGGGTCCCATTGGGAGCTGCTTGCGCGGTCTCGCGAAAACAGAATATCTCTCTACTCCGATGTCGTATTGACGAGCGGTTTAATGCGTTGGAAATTAGACTCGTAGATTTCAATTTATATGTAGATCATCATTGATTCCAAGTATATATGGGAGAAAAGTGCATCTACATTTGGACCTAAATTTCAGCCATTATGAATGCAACTTGTGATGACCTTTGCTAACTTTTGTTCCATAACTCGTTTGACTTAAAAACATAACACACGACTATCATACGACTTACAATAACTCATAAATTAACCTCCTCATCATGTTAATCACCTAGTCTCACCCAAAATAATATGTTATAAACATTCCAAACTTGTCGATTTTTGACGAAACTTATTTTCTTCAATTCGTTTAGCGACTAAGCTTTCCAACCCTTTTGGTCTTGTTATTCATGATCTTAAATATTTGTAACCTCCAAGGAAACATGATTAACTTACTTTATTTGCTTCCAAATAAATCTCATTTTCGAGCTTACATCAATGACTTACGACGTACTCTCACGTATGAAAACTTGGGGTGTAACATCATTCCACCCCCCTTTGGAACATTCGTC